TATTAGTTTTAAACTGAGATTGTGTTTAGAAGTATTGTTGTCTGGAAAGATAATCATACATGTCTGTTTAAGGTAAACAACAGAAAGGTATAATAAGTTTAGGGAAAAGTGAACTCAAATAGCTTCATATTTTAAGGAAAAAAACCGGTGTCTCATTTCACTTTTATTAAGGTGTAATGATGAGTGACAGTTCATAATAAGTAGCTTGCTATATGGTTAATTTTATATGTCGACTAGGTCACTGTATCTGGGTATTAGTCAAACATTCTAGATGTCTCTTTGTAGCTATTTTTAGATGGAATTAACATGTAAACAAGTAGAATGCCCTCCATATAAGTGGGTCTTGTCCAAGCCATATGAAAGCCTTAAAAAAATCTGATCTTCCTTGAGGGAGGGAACTCTGGCAACAGATTTTCAGACCAAACTGTTAACTCTTCCCTGCCTGCATTATAAATTATAAATCTGTATGTTCATTAAATATATTCATTGTGCAGGAATATAGTTCAAATGTACTGAGATCTGACAATTTCTTCCTCTCAGGCAATTTGGATAATTCCTATCATTTTGCCTCAGAATTCCATGATCCTTTCTTTCAGTGAGCCCTATCTTCTGTTTTCATGCCATCTATTATATTCTTCAGGTCTAGAATTTCCACTAGTTTCTTTTTTTGGGAGGGGGCTCCCTTTCTCTACTGACATACTCCATCTTTTCACTTACTTTGTTCATGTTTCCTCATAACTTATTTAATATAAGTTATTTTAAAATTTTTATCTGTTAATTCCAACAGGTTTGATTTATAGAATTCTTTTTACTGATTGTTCTTTCTCTTGGTTATGGGTCATTTATTTCTGCTGAATAAGCAGAATCATATTTGCAGAATAAGCACCTCATATTTTCTGATTACAGAAGTATTAGACAGTTAATCAGAAAAGAATAAAATAGAAAAATCTTTATTCTCAGACAGAGCTTACCATTTCCTCTTTCAGAAAACTAGGGTGAAGGGTAGATCTCTTTGTTCAAATCAAGAGTTGGCTCTAGCTGAGCTGGGCTGTTGCTATTTTAGTTAATTTTAGTAAGCCTATTGTTTTAAGTGTTGCAGAGATAAGGTAGTTCATTGAGAAACTCTAGAGATTATGGGAACTCTCTCTACCCCACTTCCCATGTCATGAATTATGCTGCAAAACTCCTCTAGGAAAGAACCAATGATTGAAGAAGACTGACTCATACAGGGACCTTTCAGATTCATCATGCTAGCCCATGTGGTTTCTAGACCTTCAGCTCATTTCTGTCTTGCAGTCACTCTGCCTAAAAGATTTGCTCTTCTCTTTTGTGTTTTTTTATGTTCATAAATACACCCATGTATTACAGTGACTCCGGAGCTTGGCACGATAATTCCACCACTCTGAGAAGTTGAGGCATGAGAATTATGAGAATTATGCCCAGCCTGGGCAATTCTGAGAGACTCTGTCTCAAAATGGAAAAAAAAAAAAAAAGGCTAAGGCTGCCTGGGGATAGCTGAGTGCAAAGGCCCTGGGTTTAATATCCCCAGTACCTGCCCCCGCCCCCACCCCCACCCCCCACCCCCCGCTGTGGCTCCTGGCCTTTATTCCTTTATGGAGTAGGCCCTGTTTCTCTTTACAATTTACTTTATTTATTTTTTGTTTCTTTATTTTTGTGGTACTAGGGATTAAACCCAGAGCCTTTGCACTGAGCTATATCCCTAGCTCCCCTTCCCCTTAAAAATTTGAGACAGGGTCTTGCTAAGTCACTAATTGCCAGGCTAGGCTTGAACTAACGACCCTTCTGTCTCAAACTCCCAGAATGATTATGTGTACACCAGAATGCCCCCCGTAATATATTATATTTCAACTTCTTTGATGACTCAATGTTACAGTGGGAGAGATGATCTTTATCAACCTTGTATGTACTAACCAAAAGCAAAACTGTTGGTCCACTTAAGTTATTTTGTTGCTTTTTTCTCTCTCTTTTGTTTTTGGTCAATTTCAATACTTCTTTTTTTTCCCTCTGCCTGTTGATCTTGAATTTGTTTTTATTTTTTACCAGTGTTTCAATTTTACTATTACTTTCTAATTCTAATAAATATATTCATTATTTATACAAAGAAGATGGCTGAACCTTCCTTTAACCAAGATATCAATACTTTCTTGCTCCACACCAAAATGAAACATTCAGAAAGCTTTTACTTCTCTATTCTTTCACATAAATTTAGTTAAGTTTAAGTGGATGAAAATGTGTAGAAATCTAAATTAAGTGCTAATTATGAATTTACAAAACAAAAAAGGGACTGTATAATAAAGAAATCCTAATGTTTTATTCTACATTTAATAGAAAAATCTAATGGAGTGGTGGTGAACCTATGGCACATGTGTTATTTTTCTTTTAAGACAAAAGATGTTAACGTATGAGTTGCTTTTTCTAAACTAAAACCTCAGTATCAGGTTTAATTGCAGTGTTGCCGCTTTGCCATACATAACTGGGTTTTGAGTTGCAGTTTGGAAACTCGTCTCTAAAAGGTTCACCAACACTGATCTAATGTTTTGCGTTATGTCTTAAAATGTCTACTCGAATGCAGTTGTCATTTGGTTACTTTCTAAATCCTTGTATATTCAAATATGTCTTCCTTTGCTGACAGGTGTATGATACTTTATTTGAAGAACAGACATATGTAGACAATCAGAATAAAGGATTTCTCATCCAGCAGTCTGTTCTTCACCACCAGATGTTAATCAACTCAAGTTTATCACACTTACTGAAAAATAGTAATTTTCTAGGAAAATTATTGTGTCAGTCTAGTGTGAGTTATTTATAATTCTCTTACTAGTTTTATTTCTTTACAATTAGGAAAAATGCATTTGAAGGAAAGTTTATTAGCGTCACAATAAATTAATTAATATCCTGATTTTGGCGACAGTGCATGTATTGGAAGACTGACTTTAGCAACTATAGGTATGTGACCTTATGAGTTATTTGTCCACTCACACTTTCTGGGAAGGTCTCCACAGCCCTGTGCTAGTCTTTCATAATCTGTGCTATTTATTCTCAACTATTAGTCAAAAATTAAATTCACTGATCTAATACATATGTAAAGTTAACAGATCTTTGATATATCCACAATACTCATTTCTATTTAAAAACTACCAAGAACTACATATAATTTTTAATATTTGCTAAATTTTATCAGTAAACTCCAATGGGAAATCAAAGTCTATTCAAATCATATACCATGTGACCTGCTTTAGATATGCAATCTGAAGACAATCAGGTATGCTTCTAAAAAAGCTGCCATATATTTATTGCACTAGCAAGGACAATGAACTTCAAATATATGCATTTAATTGTTTAAATACAATTTAGTATTTTTCTTTTATTTTTTAGACAGTGTCTTGCTATGTAGTCCGGATTGGCCTCTATATTTTGATCCTCCTTCTTTAGTTTCCCCAAGTGTGGGGATTATAGGCATATGCAACTACATCTGTCTTTAATAAACTAGTATTAGTTATTTTAACATTACCTTGAAAATCACAAGTACAAACAGGATAGAAAAGCATAATATTCTAAGTTATATACTTCATTTTTATTCAGACCTGTTATTCAGTGAAGAATTAAAAACAATAATGTATACCACTAGAAGACGCTTGCTGTATTTTCCTGTTTCCTCTATGTTTTTCATACTGCCTTTTTGGGTAGAAAATATCCAAGTTATCCACCTCATAGTCATTCCTAACAGTTTTTGGTTTTTTGTGTTCTTTTCATTCAATAGCCTCTTCCAGCTTCTCATTAACTCCTGTGTATTCAATTACCACAATGTGTGAATAACCCTTTAATCTGTATATATATTCCAAGGCTATATTTTAAAATACACAGCACAGGGCCGAGGATTTAGCTCAGTGGTTCTGGTGCTTGCCTCACAAGCACAAGGTCCTGAGTTTGATCTCTGGTGCCAAAAAAAAAAAAAAAAAAAAAACAGCACAGTCAAACTGAGTCCCCTCTCACTGAGTCTCTCTCCCTGTAAGGAAAGTAACTGTGAAAGGACTAACCTGCTTTTGGTTCTGTTTCTGTTTTCTTCAGCCCTTTTCTGCCTTTGAAGCCGCTTCTTCTGCTCAGCTCAGGAGAACACTTGTCCTGTACAATGAGGTGTTGCCTGGGTCTGGAGTTGCAAACAGATGCCAATGAATAGTCTTTTAACTAAACTTGCTGTAGTTGGGTTCCTTGGCCAGTGGAAACCTGGAGAGACAATGGAGTCCAGACAACGCCCAGCCAAGTCCTGGTGCAAGAGCCGCCAAAGACACAAACTCATAGGGACACTTCAAAGGTAGCAGTGCAAACTGGTAGGCTGAATGAGTATGAGAAAATCCTGGGGCTGCAGTCTTGGATGACCTTGGTAGTTTTGGGACTTTATCTCCCGGGAGACAGGAAAAGAGGAAGAAGAATCCAGGTGGAGTGGGCCCAGAGACATTTCCATGACTGATGCCTGTTCTCCAGGGACAGACTTTGCAGAGGCCTCATCTCCCTGGGGAAGGGTGCTCTCATTCCAGCTGCTGCAGCCTCTCTGTCTCCATCAGGACAGGCAAGCACCAGCGGAGGTCACGGACCAGGCAGCCAGGGCACCAAAAGACTAAGATCTCACCAGAAGTTCGCAGAGCACACACTCCCCACACCTTCCTCCCTGCCAAAGGGCTTGGCAATCACTTGGAGCACAGTGGGCAAAGATTAGGGTTACCCTGTTTGGATGGCTAGAGGAAGTTCAAGGTCAAGAGGGAAGACAAAACAAGCATACTGAAGAATCTGAAGCCTCTGGCCCCTGTATCTACAACAGATCCTGAAAACACCCCAAATATGAGACAGATTAGTGTAAGCTCTCACAGTAAAGGCCACTTTACCTCTGTTCCTGTTTCGTTGAATGATCAGTCAGGGAATTTTAAATAACTATGGGTAATACAGTACACAAAGTGCCCTCACAATAATGGACACAGCACTTGTAGAAGACATGCAAAAACATGTAAGTAATGTAAGCAGAGTGATGGGAACGCTAGAAAAGAACCCAAAGGAAATGAATGCCAGAACTGAAACTCCACCAGAGGAAATGGAGGCGGGCTCTCAGTGGGTTCCGGAGTGGACAGAACAGAGCTGAAGAAGGGATCACTGAGCCTGACATGCAGCAATGGAAAATTCACAAACAGAAATGTCGAGTGCAACAGAAGAATGCAAACAGAATATCCCACAGCTGTGTGACACTGCCAATCAGGGATTACTGGACTCCGGAGAAGAAAGAGACCAGAAAAGAAGCATTTAAAGAGCCGAGCACTTTCCAAAATGAATGATCAACACCAAACCCAAAATCCTAAGAACAGATCAATATAAAAGCAAACCAACCAAGCAAGGTCTATCAAAGGCAAAGAGAAGCCTTTAAACAAGACAGAGGAGGCCCTGACCTACAGGTGAACCACGAGAATTACTGTGGGCTTCTCATCAGAAACCAAGTGAGCGAGAGGAGAATGAATGATACGTTTAACACAGAAAGAAAAAACAATACTGCCTCTTTCATACCCAGAAGAAACATCTTTCAAAACCTGAAGAGAAATTAAGATTTTCTGAGACAAACAAAGGCTGAGGATTTCATCACCAGCAGCCTTGTCATGCACAAAATGTTATGAGATTTTTCAGGCAGGAGGAAAAGGAGAGAGAATAGATACAAGGATCCATATAAAGAAGGGCGCCAAGAAGGAATCTTTCATTTTTCCTATTTATGTGGTCTTTAAAAGGGGGTCTTGAAACCATCATAGCGACAATCTGTGGGTGGGGTCAGCACAGCAGGTGCAGGTGATGGCAGGGGTGTTGCTGGGAATTGCAGGAGGTCCTGACCCGAGAGCTACCAGGGGTCCTTTGAAGGTGGATGTGGGCTCGCTTAACAGTCAGGGAAAAAGGTCCCTGTGGAACCCTGGCGCTGGCAGTGCAGGTGGACAGAGTGGGACACCGAGGGGCGCTTGGCACTCCAGCCAGAGGGGTGGCCTCCAGACCCTGCCTGTCCCCACCCCTTCCGCTTGGATACTCTTTCCACCTCTTTGCCTTCAGATGCTTTGCAGCAGGCAGAGCGAAGGCCAGGAGCTCCTTCATCAGCATGCTCCAAAGCCAAGGTGGGTGAAGTGTGGGGCGGAGCACCTGGCGCAGGACAAGGCCCCATACATGGAAGCTGCTGCTCCTGAGACCTCCAGCCCTGTGTCACAGTGCGGTCCCCACACTGGCAGCATCGATGTCACGGAGAATACATCAAAACTGCAAACCCTCCTCCCTCGCCCTCAATCTGCATTTCACAGGTCCTCCTGGCAGTGTGGGTGCTGCAGAGGTGTGAGCAACACTGCCAAGAACAGGGCTCCCACCTACCCTGTTAGGAACCAGGGTGCACAGCAGGAGGGGAGCCAGCAGCTTCCTCATGTTTTCAGTCGCTCCCCATGCCTGGCACTGCTACCCGAGTGCAGCCTCCTGTCAGATCAGTGGCGTTAGAGTCTTGTAAAAGTGGGAACCTATCTAGGTTGGCTGCTCCTTATGGGAAACCAATCCCGACATCATTCCTCCAATCCCCTGCCCTGGTGTGTGCAAAAATTATCTTCCACGAAACCTGTCCTTGGTGCCAAAAAGGCCGGGACCACTGCTTTAGAGAACCGAGAAGGTCCCAGAGTGACACAGCCAGCAGGACCCCTGGTCACTGTCAAGATCCCACAACGCCAAGCCGTTCTGACACCTCTGTTCTGATCAGTCTTGATCGTCCTTGGCCCTTATCTTCAGACGAAGCTTAGCCTTGGCACACAGTAGGTCCCTAAAAAGTACCAAGCAAATGACTGCACAATTATGATAAGCATTATGCAGGTAACTCCCAGGTCCACTGCCCTCTATTTATTTCCACTAACTCAGTAAACAAGGCAGAGGTCTCCACAGTGTCCCCTTGCCATGAACCCCATCATATCCCCACCAGAGGCTCGTGGTTTCTCCCACAGACTCAGGGACCTGGCCCTACAGCTTCTGTTTTCAAATGCCTGAGGCTGAACAGGCACACAGTCAGCTGATTTAGGAAGAGAAGAAAATCGGGACTAAGATCTCAAAGTCTTGCTTGCACTCATCAGCAATGAAATGTTGACTTCTCATCATCAAACTGTCAATTCACAATTCTAGTTCAGTTACTTTTACTTGAGTCTCATGGTCTAACGCACCCTCGTGGTACACACTGTGGTGCTGGCCCAGGCTGGGGATTAGGAGAGCAGCAGAGACCCCAGAGCTGGTGGTCTGGCAAGGAGAGGCAAAGGTACAGACAGCAGCATGGCAGTGGGGTATGGTTCTCACTGTCTCAGACACAGCGAGGACGGTTCAGGGATAGGAAGTCTGTTCTAATAGCATGGAGCAGGGGGCTTCCTGCGGGAACTAGAAAGCCAAGCAGCTGCTGGGGGCTCTGTGTCCCTTCCCAGAGAAAGGACTGTCCCACCTGCCTGCTATGAAGAAGCCAAGTGTAGGCAGGCAGGCAGCAGGTCCCTCCTGACTATTAAAAACTAGCATTAAAAGGTATTTAGTGGAAATACGTAGTGCTGGCAACAGTATAACAAAATTGGCATTCCCATATATTTCTGAAAGCATCTGGTAAGCTGGCAAATGGGAGTAATAAGCTTTTGGAAAGCGTCCATCAACACACATGAAGAGCATTTATAAATGTTTGCATCACTGGGCCCGACAATCAGAAACATGGAAATCTGTCCACATGGATGTCATCTCCAACAGAAGGAGCATGACACTTCCTGCTGGGTCTGTTGCTGGTGGAAGTGATGCAGATGTGAGAGAGTAGCTCTGTACACTGACAGGACTGCTCAGTGGTCAATGGATGTTGACATAATTTTCCCAGAAAACATCAGCCACCTGCATATAGAAAGAAGTCTCAAGATACATTCGATGACAAATCATGACTTGGAATTGCACTGCATATGACTCCAAATGGTTAACAAGGAACAGGTGTTGGGGGAAATACTTGAAGGAATTACAGTAAAATGACAGTAGTGTCATTAACATGGTGTGGTTATGGTTTTATTCTATAATTTCTCCGCTTTCCAAGCGCTCTGAAATGGTTTTACATGCAAAGTAGAAAACAGGAGGGAGTCTGGGTGAGAGAGGTCAGCCCTCCCTGGAGGGGGCAGGCTCTCAGGATTTCCTCACTGCCAGCAGCAGCATTAGTCATACGCAAACTTTCTTCTTTCCTTCCTTTTGCTGGACATTGATCTCCAAGGGACAAAGTCTGGAGGGCTGCTTGCCCATAGGCTGGGAGAGCACCAAAGATGCGGAGCTCAGAAGCTAAAGCCAAAGCCCCTCCAAGAGCCCCTAACTCAAGAGACGGTAGGGAGCTCTGAAAGCTGCCAGTTGTGTCGGGTGAAGCTGGGCCTGCGTGCAAGAAAGGAGGCCGTGGGCTGAGAGCAGTGCCCTGCCCAGCGCTGCAGAGACAGTCACATGGGAGGCTGAGTCAGGATGAGCACAGACAAGGCACCAGGCTGTGGGCCACAAGCGCCTGCTGTGTTAGGCAGCTCTTCCGGCCCAGCCCGGATAGTCAGTCCTCTCCGGTGCCTCCATTTCCACTTCCAACGGAAAAACTCATTTTATTTTCTGTACATAGTTTCTGCTTTCTCATACCATTTTGGTTGGCACAACACTGAACAATATTCGAAAACCTCTGCTTAATTTGTGACTAAGCTCAATATTATTTCTCACTTACTAAATAACCACTGTAATGTTGATTTTCCATTTATTTCAATAACTATAATAATAAAGAAATTGCAGCTTTGAGTTAGATAAAACAGGTTTTCTCCAGTTATTTACCCCTACCCCAGTTAAAGCTGGCTACAGATCATGAGCGCTAAGCACCTGCCATGCCGTCTAGCGTCTGAGCTCCCCAGTGCCAGGGACACTCAGCCTTGGGCCCAGCTGGGATGCCTAGCACAGAGCAGATTTAAGCAGCCCAGGCTGCAGAGTGATGCTGCCCCTCATGGTAGCACACCCAAATCCCAAGCCAGAGCTCTGATGCCAATGAAGTTCATGGAAAATTCAACCAGAAAATCTAAGTCAGGAGTCATGATGAAGGTAATTTCATTCTCTAGTCAGCTCCTTTGGTCTCCCTCAACATTCGGGATGGGAGACACCAGAGTTTGCTCTGCCTCACATCTCCTGGTGCCTGTCCTCGTGGCAGGGGGCTAGGG